GTCAAAGTGTTCTAGGTTTGTTTACCAACGTCCCCTTTGTCTTTGAAATGATATTGACCTGTGACATGAACAAGAATGGCACCAAGACCCCTAGGAAGTTGAGAAAAGGCAAAATTTTCTAGAGGGATGGGGGAAGACAGAACAAGGCTTCCATAAAGTAAATGTAATTAAATATCAACAATGAAATAAGAGGACTATGAAAAATAAAAAAAAAATATATTGGCTAAAATTTTTATTTAGTCACAAGTGTGACTGTTTGTGTGATAATATCCATGATGGTTATGCTTTCTCATCTAATGACATAGTAATTCTACAACTAGGTAGTGTGTGTGTGTGTGTGTGTATGCACACATGTAAGCGTATACATTCATAATACATTCATACCTATATTATAGTTAGTGGTCTTAAGAACTTGAAAAAGTTTTGAGTTTCCTTTTCAAGAGCCCAGAAAAACCTCATCATAATAAGGTGTATAGAGACCAAGTGAGACAACTGAGCTTATAAATTTTATCTAAAGAAATAAGGGCTAAATTTACACCTACTGAAAATTTCCTTCCTGTTTGTGTAGATCTGGCTAGGGTTTCTCTGGGAGCGAAGTTCAAAAGACTAACAATGAGAACAGCTAATTCTACTTTGAGACAGTAGCAAACGTGTGAGCCAAAGACAGGAAGCCACGCGAGAAGTCGGTTTGTATCCCAGACCTCTTCACAGAACCGATGTTTGAACAAGAGGACAATGTTAAGTAGTTCTCAGCGGTGCCAGTGCCTTGCAGGTTTGGACTGAAACTGTGGGGGAACTGAGCAAGTCAACCATATCATAATGACAATGGCTGGGTGTGACAGTTCAGCAACACGAAGGTGGAGAGGGTAAGGAAAATAAAGACAGAGCAATAGAACAGAAACCCGAAAGGCAGAATGGACGAGGGGTCCTGACCTGAAGACAGAGCTAAAAAGAAATCACTAGCTCAGAATTGAGTATAATAAAAGGTTGTTTATTTAGGGGTAGACTCAAAGATCACAGTCCTATGCTCGAATGCAGAACAGCAACCAAATTCCACAGAAGAGAGATGCCGGACATGCTCTTTACATTGGCATTTATAGTTTAAGAGGCCATGCCCAAGCAGGAGGGTAATTTAAAGGCTACTGGCTGTAGGATTTCCTACAGCATTGACCTTGACTTGCAGTCCTGGCCTCACTTGCCTGTCTTGTAGTCTGAAGAGCTGCAGACCCCCAGACTCATGCCACTATGTTAAAACAGACTTGAGCAAGTAGATTGGGACTCCTTTGCCCGTATTCACTGTGTTTTGGAAATGGATATTTGGTTTCTGTTGTTTAGGGAAGAAAGTACTAGAACAGAGTAACACGTTCTTGTGGGTTTTCATTTAAGATAATGAGACATGTTGGAGGGAACTGACTTCAGAATTTTGTATGCGGTTTGGGGAAAAGTTTTAGTCAGGTTGTGTTAGGGGCTCTACTGCTGTGATAACGCGCCATAGCCAAAAACAACTTGGTGAGGCAAAGGCTTATTTCATTTTATGGCAAGAAATTCTTTGATTTCATGCTCTGAATTCACCAGGAATTGAAGCAGAGATAGTGAAGCTGCTTACTGCTTGCTCCTTGTGGCTTGCTTAGCCTGTTTTCAGACAGCACCCCGGGACCCATCACAGGGATGGTACCATCCACAGTGAGTTAGGCCCTCCCACATCAATCACAAAGCAAGAAAATATATCACAGGCCATTCTGGTGGGTACAGACAGTATCTCAGTTGCTGTTCTCACGTCCTGCATATCTCTACTGTGGAAAACTAGCCAGCACACAGATCACTGTAGACTGGGGCTCAGTACCTACCTGTGCAGACATTATATATTGATTCCTATTAGCTCTATCCCTTGGTATCACGGTTCTTTGTCTGTGCTCTTTTCTTCACATTTTCTTAAAACTTTAGTCAAGACAAGCAGTCTAGAACAGATGATACCCATAGGAAACACAGGCTTTCAGGAGTACTTCCTTTTTATTGTTTAAAATAACCGCTATGGTTAGTCAACCTACCCACTGGGAATACCAAGTCTCTCTTTAACCCAATGTTGGGTCCCCAGCCCACTCTGTCATCTCTGCAACCTGGACAAACTGAAGTGTTAGCTGCTCAAGCCACCAATTGCTTTGAGTTTGGTTTATAGTTGCTGTCATTCCTCCTATTACCATAATCCTGGCTAATGACTCTAATTGTATTAAAAGGTAACTGAGATGTGTGTGTTCTCTGCTAATTCCTAGACTATACAAGAAAAGAAGGCTCATTTGCTGTGCTTAGAAGAATTAGTTCGAGATGTTTTGTCTAGGCCCTGTCATTTGGAAGCTCCCGTTACACTCTGGAGAAAGTTAAAGTCAGTTGCCCAAGAGCCTGTGAGATAGACAGGCAGACAGTAACTTTAGAGGTTCTGATTTCTGATGCCATGATTGGTTGTGACATTAGTTACCTGATAAAACGGGAGCCATGATCAAGTCAGAAAGAAACCTCTTTAGTCTTGTATACAAAACAAGAAAACCAGGTTATGGTTCATATTTTGATAGGTCTATATAGGGGTTCGTTAACTATTGCTTTTGTGCAGATACCTCTATTGTATAAGTGTGCTTCTTTTTTTAACATGAGGTGGTGAGTGTTCTGCCAATGCTTGTTGTTGGTGACCAAGAAAATGAAGTCTCATTCTGATCTACGTAGTTCAAGCCCATAGTTAAGAAAATCATTTCCAATCTCATTAAAGCTAGCTCCAAAAGTTCATTCTGACCTATATAAAGCCAGAACATGCTGGTATAAGTTGACACTGGAGTCAATATTTGACATAATATGAAAAAAACAAGATATACATATTGGCACAGTAGTGATATGAATGCTAGAGATATAACCAACCACTTTCTACTTGGATCTAAGGTCTGATCCATGGGTAACATTTTTAAAAGGCCAAGAGTCTGTGACTAGGTAGGTCATGGGCCCTAGAGGAGATCCTAATACCAATACCATGCTGAATGGATACAGTGCTAAATGACTCCTAATGACTTATTGCTGTAGCCGTCAACCAGTGCATCCCTCAGCCCTTATCAGAGAAGCTTCTTATAGTAGAAGAAGAAGAGAAAGAGAATGAAGAAGGAGAGAAGGAGGAGGAGGAGGAGGAGGAAGAGGAGGAAAGAAGAAAAAGGAAGTTATGTGGATAGGAAGTCGGAGGGTAGATATCTTGGAGGATCTGGAGGAGGACATGAATAGGAACAACATATTGTATGTATGTTTTAAATGAAGAATGCTGGAGGGTGAGAAAATGGATCAGTGTGGTGGTTGAGAGCACTGGCTGCTCTTACAGAGGACCCAAGTTCAAACCCAGCATCCACTTGTCAGTTCACAACTGTCTATGACTTCTGCCCTAGGGTATCTGATGTTCTCTTCAGGCCTCCATAGACCTTGCATGCAGGTAGTACACAGACATACAAACAGACAAAACACCCATACTTTTAAATAAAATGAAAACTTTGGCCAGGGAAGCAGGTAAAGCTAACCGTAGTTCTTCACCTCTTCCTCCTCTCCTTCAAATCCAGTGCCTCAGACTCATCTCCCAGGTCTGTAAGAGATCGCCTGTGGAGTCCTCCCCTCTCTCCATGCTCCCATCTCTAACGGATCACACATATCTGTCCAACAACCTTCCTTCCTCCACTCATTGCTTTATCTTAGTCCCCCCACCCCCACTCCTCAGGCATTTCGTAGGAGCCCTCAGGCCACCCCAGCCAGGGCTTCAAGTAGCCTAAATGTGGATCTTCACCTCTCCCTCCTTATTCTCCTCTTGCCTTCCTCCCCACCCATCCTGTTATTCTAGCTCCCAACTTCAGCAGGCATTCCCTGGAAACTCTGCCAGCCAAACCTGCCTGAGAAAAAGGCAGGCCCTGGGAGCAGATGAGCTAGCTTCAGATCCTCACTTTTCCTCTTCTACTCCAGGTTCAAGCTCCCAGTCTCACCCCCACCTCTCTGACAGACTACCTGTTAGGACCTTCCTCACTTTCTACTCCCATTCCCAGGAAACTAAGCAGACTCTGGTGTAACATCCACCATACCCTTCTAAGAACCAGAGAGGGCAACAGAAACCAAGGGACGAAACACATACCCAACAAAGATAACAGCACCTAGAATTACAAACATCCCAAACTCAGATGCCTAGATACCAGCATTAAAACAAAATAAAAAACAGTCATCCCAATATGTAACTATTAGAGCTCAGTAACCCAACCATAGCAGGCCCTGAATATTCCAATACAGCTGAAGCACAAGACGAAGACCCGAAAAGAGCCTTTATGAATGTGACAGAAATCCTTAAAGAGGAAATGAGCCAAGCCCTTAAAAATATGTGAAAACACAAACAAATTGTGGAAGGAAATGAATAAAACCATTCAAAACCTGAAAGTGAAAACAGAATTAGTAAAGTAACCTGGGAGGGATCCCTTAGAAAAACAGAGGAAATTCTGGAAATGACAAATTTAGGAACTCTAACAGAAACTACAGAGGCAAGCCTCACCAACAAAATACAAGATCTAGAAGAGAGAATCTCAGGTATTGAAAACACGATAGAAGAAAGAGATACCTCAGTCAAAGGAAATGTTAAACCTAAAAATAATCCTGACATGAAACAGCCAGGAAATCTGGGACACTATGAGATAAAAATTAATCTGAAAAGAATAGGAAAAGAGGGAGGAAAAGATCCAGGTGAAAGGCACATAGTTTTCCAACAAAATCATAGACAAAATATGTCCTAACCTAAAGAAGGAGATACCCATCAAGGTACAAGAAGTATACAGAACACAAAACAGATGGGGCCAGAAAAGAAATTCCCCCTCGTCACATAATAATGAAAACACTAAGTATACAAACCACTTAATAAAAGGACAAATTCTGCAATCAATCAAAGAAGTGCACTGAGCAGAGACTTCACAAATGAAGAACAAATGGCCAATGGATTCAAGTCTTACCTGCTCTGAACGGCTGGTATCGCTTCTTGTCCCCCTAGAGTCCTTTCCTATTTCCTAACAGAAAGGGCTATGCACCCCTCACCATTAGGTGGCTCTTTGTATTAACTGCCATTCTTAAAAGACTGCTTTTTTGCCCTAGATGAACCTTTGGTAAATGTTTATTGAAACGGGCTATAACTACATTTCTTTTCAGTAAGGTTTCTTTTTTATCCCACCGCTTGCTAGAGGAGATAGCATTGCAAATGAAGTTTCTGTCATTTGAATATAAAAATCACACAAGGATGAATCACATTTCATTATATTAACAGATAGTTTTGAGCTCTCAGCACATTAGATCCTTTCCTTCACATTTTTTTGTCAGAGTGAAACCTGCTTTCGTGTGACATGCGCAAACATATTTCCCAGGAGCATCTTCCTATTCTGTGTTCACTTACAGCAGACAAACTTCTAATGACCCCTGCTGTAACCGAGACATAAAACACAGAGTCAAGCTGACAGGTAACAGGAAACAAACTTGGTGTTCAAATGGTAGCAAAACATCTGTGGGAAATTTTACCTACGTGTTCCAATCCTCAGATAGCCACGAAAGTTAGGGGCAGGAAGCCCCTCTTTCACTTTTGAACTGACCTCCCTCAAGACCTTTTCCTTTTTGCCATGTGTTTCTGGGTTGTCCAAGAATTATGATTACTGTGCTCACGGATATCTGGGAAAGCCCACTATCAATCACAGAAATCAATTGTCTTTCAATCTGACCTTCCTCCTCACGTGTTAGCAACTACTTCAACTAAAATCCATTTAATTTCCTGGTTTGGGAGTTGGTCTTTACTGTGAAATATTGTGGAGTATTTTCTGACACATGGCCCTGATAAAATTAAAAACTGTCCATTGGTCACTGGTTCTGGAGGGAATATAGAATATTCTCTACTCTGGCGTTCTTCTTCCTTCTGTTTCTGTGGGAGTTGCAGTCATGGCCAATATTAGGAGTTTCTTGTTGACTGAATGGAGAAAGTAAAACATGAAAGCAAGTCACACAGAAGGCAAAGGATCCATCATTTGTTTATACAGAAATAATTTATCAAAATAAATGAGTACCCTTAAAGTAACAGAACATGAAGGTATACATTCTTACTCCATGAATTCAGGCCCGATTATAAACATTTTGAATTTTAGTAAATTCATTAAGAATCTATGTTAAGGACTGTACATTAAGCAGGATAAGCTTATGAGTGGGAAATAAGGTCAGGATTAAATTTAGCAGTGAACCAAATTCTCTTCTGATACATTGTTACTTTTTTTAAAAGGTAAGTTTATATCAACATGCTAGAAAATGAGTCACTAATACAATTAAATGAATTCGGAATTAAATACAATGAAATGAATTCAGATTTTACTGCTAGAATATTTCAGAATAGAATGGATTCATACTTTTCTCTCTCTTTCTTTTTTCCATATTATTAAAAATAGATTCTTTTCTCATATAATAGATCCTTATTACAGTTTCCCCCCCCCACTCTTCTCATTCCCACTCCTCCCCACTCCCACACGGATCCGCTTGCTTTCTGTATTTCATTAGTAAAGAACATGCTTAGAAGAGGTAACAAAAATCATAACAAAATAACATATAAGATAACACAAAAACAATCACATTGAAGTTGGACAAGGCAAAGCCAACAGAAGGGAAAGTGCCCAAGAGGAAACACGAGTATCAGAGCCCCACTCATTCACACACTCAGGAGTCCATAAAAAAATACTAACCTGAGCACTGTAGTACATGAACAGAGGACCTGGTGAAGAATCAAGTCACCCCTGTACCTACTGCACCTGTCTCTGAGAGTTCATATGACCTTTGCTCAGTTTATTTAGAAGGTCTTGTTCTTCTGTTGTCTCCCATCCCCTCTGGCTGTTGCACTCTTTCCACCTCCTCTTCCTGGAGCTTTGAGGGGGTGGGATTTGATGGAACCATCCCATTTAAAGCTGTGTGCTCCAATTTCTCTCTCCGCATAATCTGGCTGTGGGTCTCCACATCTGTTCCTATCTGCTCTGGGAGGAAGGCTTTCTGATGATGGCTGAGTAAGGCGCAGATCTATGAGTGTAGAAGAATATCCTTAGGACCCATTTTAGTATTACAGTTTTTGTTGTTGTTTTTGTTTTGTTTTATATCAGTAGTAATTGGTTTGCCACAGGTCCTTGGGCTGTTTAGGTATGTTTAGCCGTGATAGGTATGGGTTCCATCTTGTGGAGTGGGCCTTAAGTCAAATCAGACATTGGTTGATTAATCCCACAAGTTTTGTGCTATCGTTGCTTTAGCACATTTTATAGGGAGGAAAGATTGTAGATCCAAGGTTTTGTGGCTGGGTTGGCATTAGTGTTTTCTATTTGAGTAGCCCGAAGAGTATCTTCCAGAACCAAAGACACTAGAATGAAGGAGGGAAGGAGCTATGCAGGCATCAGCTCTACCTCCCATGTTCAATGAGTTGTATGGTGTTGTTTTCAGCATCTAGGCCTTGCTGTCCGTTTGTGGAGAGCACATTCTCTTAGCAACAGCTAGGATTGTTTGGGAACTTCTGAGGAATAGCTTTAGCCAAAAACCCAATCAGACATAACCCAGTCCGAGTACTGGAAGCTTCTTTGGTGACAGATGATGGCCAATTGAAACTGTCTCCCTCATTATTTGGAGACATCATTAGAATTGTCTTTATATATTTTAAAAAGTTTCCACTGCACTAGGTTTCCATACCACTGCTCAACCCCCCCCCCAACTCTACCTGTTTCTCCCTGCATGTTCTCCCTCAACTCCATCGCCCCAACCTGATTCTGTACCTCCACCCATAAAATATATTCTATTCCCTCTCCCAGGAAGGTCTATGTGTCTCCTCTAGTCCCTTCCTCTATACCTAACCTCTCTAGGATTCTGTCATTTCAAATGGGCTTCAAAAAAGGAATGGGGCTTAATAGTTAGCCAAGAATATGAGGAGTTTGGATTTACCAGTCTGGGCTTGATAGAATCAGATTCTTGCATGAGTGATATACCGAAGGGCTGCTTTCAAAAGAATCCTATAAAACAACAACAAGGGAAGCAGGATAAGGGAGAGAGGGCTCAGAAGTCTCCTCTTGTGATCACTCACATTCCAGGGCTTCTCCCTTGTCCCTACCCATCACCGTAGTGCACAAGTGGCCACACAATTATGGTCTTGTTTAAGTGTCTGGAAAGGGCCACCTCCAGGGAAAGGAGAATAAGAAGCATCTAAACAAAATTGCCATTATCAACCACAGAAAAACCTACAGAAGAGGTTATTGAAAGGCATTAGCATCTGGAAACACTAGTAAATCAACAGTAATGACAAACACCAGCAAAGAGGAAGAAAAGAACCAATACCACATGACACAAAACATATATTACTGAAGTAACCTATATAAAGGGAGATAAGATGGAACCATCAGGGCTTCTGAAAGTCACAAGCAGATTAGAGTTACAAAGTCCTGAGTAGGCATCAATAAAAGCTAAAAAAGTTATTTACCCACTAAAAACATCTTATGGACGTGTGAAGTCCATATGAGAAAGAGATCTCTTTACAGTGGGACAGACCTGGGAAAGTTATTTTGTGCCAATGATCTCTGCCAGTCACTTTGCATATGCACAGAAATTTTCATTCTTCCAAAGGACAGGTGTAAGCTCATGAACAGTGGACAGTCGATTGCTCACAGCTCATCCATAGATAGGTCCTAGACCATATCATGACCGAAACAATATTAGGCCCCCTGATTTCCATTACTGTGCTTTGCCCCTTCTGCATAGTTTTGGAAGTGATTGTAAGGACTATCACAAAGAAATTCCAAACTTCATCAAAAAGGGTGCTCTCTGATGCCCTAGAACATTTTATATCAGTCCTGATTATTCAGGGTGTGTGTCTTTACTTCCTTACGAGGTAAACCCATGTGGATCATAAACTCATCTGTTAAAAAAGTAGAGAGGATTTACACACACACACACACACACACACACACGGTTCATGGGTGAACCAAGAAGAAATATTCACCACAGAAAATGACTATTAAAACCAGCTCTGCCATGTGAACATTATATTTATTCCCCATATAATAAACTAACCCATTATTAATAAAACATAAATTCAAAATTCACAGTTCATAGAATGCTCTGATGACAAAAGCTCAGAGGTTCCCCCCCTGCAATCTTCCTTGCAGAAAGTGGCCTGAGCACTGACTTTCCCACGAGTTACATGACTTTTTCGGTAAGGAGATTATATGACCTATGCCTCACTTTCCTCTTTCATAAATAACATGCTTGGCTCTTTGATCTATAATAAAATTAAGAGGGAACTTCAAGACTGACATGAAGTTAAGGCCATATGTGTTAATTAAGTATAACTAAACAAAATAAATAACTTACCCAGAGTCAATCAATTAATTGACTCATTTTATTAAGAAGCTATTGAATGAATATAAAATATGAATATGCACTGATTCAGTACAATAATTTAATTACAGGTAATTAATAGAAACTAACCAATATGCAAAGATGTTGGAATATTGCCACACTTCAATTTATCCATGATAGCATTATTTAGAAGCTTTGCTTTCAGCTCACATAGAGAAAAATTTTATTTCTATTTCTGTTACTCTACTGTGTTATCTCAGGCAAGGGATTTGATATATAAAAAGACATGATTCCCTTAAACGTAAGGTCTCAATAATAATAGCCAAGAAATCTTTATTACCTGCTTAGAGATCAAATAGAAGAGTGAATGCTTACATGGTCAGGGCATGGAGGCACTCACTTTTAATCCAAGCACTCGGGAGGCAGAAGCAGGTGGATCTTTGTGAGTTCAAGGTCAGCCTGAACAGAGTGAGTTTCAGGATAACCAGGACTACATGGAGCAACCCTGTCTCAAAACAAAACAAAAGAAAACAAAACAAAAAAAAAAACAAACATAAAAAGTATACACTTAAAGCATAAGGCAAATATACTAACTGGTAGTAGCTATGGTACCAATTTTGCGACTTTTAGTATCTTTCAAAGAGTTCACATTGCAAATCATTGAGGCAAACTAGATGCTTTAATGTGTTCATTGTATGGAATTGTAAAATAACATGTAGATCTTAAGCGAACATAAACTCAGAAACTCTGGTTTTATTTATAGCTGTTCTCTTGGCCCATTCATTGATGTTGCAGTTCTTAGTGTACAAGCACGAACGGGCTTGAGTAAACAAAGTCTTGTCTATCCTAAATGTTGGAGCAAGGTTGAATGTGTTACTAAAACTTAGAACAAGCTACCAAGCTAAGACACAGCTGTGCCCACTCTCACACAAAAAGACATGTTACTTGATCACCAAGGCTCTTCCCTCCTGCATTGTATGGATATGTGAATAAATCTGAATTCACACGTGACTGGAGGTGCATTTTATTTTGGGCTACCAGCTCACAAAAAAGAAAAAAATAAATGACATGGAGACTTATCAATTAAGAAAGCTCAGCCTTAGGTTAGGCTTGTTCCTAAATATGTCCTTTAACCTACATTGACTCACATCTTTAAATGTGTATTCTGTATGTGGCTCTGTTACCGTTCCTCTGCATTGCACATCCTGCTTCCTCTCCATCCAGCTGTGACTCAGCTTTCTTCCTCCCAGGGTTATCTTTCTCTCCCTGAAGTCCTGCCTACACCCCTTGCCTTGCTACTGGCCTTTCAGCTTTTTATTACACCAATAACTGCAATACATTTAACTCGGTGCACAAATATCCCACAACACATAGCCATTTAAAATCACATTTATTAATGAGCGAATGCAGAGGTCACCCACCAGTAATTCAGGTTTAGAGGAAATTGTGTCACTTGGGACATTCCTCAACTTGGCTCTGACTGAAGGACAGACTGACCAATAAAAGCAGCTTCAGGCCTCAGTGGGGAGTTTATTTACCCTGCACCCAAGTAACTAACTGGATTCACATGGAGCCGTGCTCTGCGTGGTGGTAATAAGACAATTGTAAGTAAAGATGAGTTGCTGTTAGGACTGTATGACTTGGAGTAACAGAAATCAGAAATACCGACTTAAAATTTATTTAGGCAAGTTCTTAGTTAAAAGTTTTTGTTAGGTACAGCTCTTAAACAAGCCTCTCTGCTGACGCAAATAATTCCAATCAGACCAAATTAAACCAAATTAAAAGATGCCCATGTTTAATGCAGTGCTCCCGGGTGGCCCCGGGAAAGCATGGAGAAGGGAAGGGAGGAACGGGGAGATCACACAAAACCTGGAGATCACACATTCATTCTCTTGGGGGCAGTTTAAATAGCCTATGGGAGTGGTCTTGGTATTCCCTGTGGAGGGTTACTGTTTGGTGGGCTTTCTTGATCCTCCCTGGGGACTCACCATTTGGCAGGTTTTTTTGACCCTCCCTGGGGAGGGGATTTATGCCAGAAGCTGGGGTGAAGCTCCCAGACAAACAATCCAGACTTTTGTATAAAGGGGTATTAGGGAGCTGGGGTGATGCTTTCGACCAAATATTCTAGGTTTTTTGGATAAGGGGGCACCAGTGAGCTGAGGTGAAGCCCTGCAACCAAACATTTTAGACTTCTTGGTTAAAGGGAAGGCGGCTCAAATCTGGCTGCTTCCTGAGGGCATGGGGTGCCATGGGAGAGGAGAGAGCTGGGAGTTGGTGGGGTCACGCTCAGCCAGAGGTGTGGCTGGAGCAGCATTTGGTTTACTGTCATCCTGGAGACCTCAGGCAGCTGTTTCTTGAGAAAGCAGTTGGCTAGGAGAATAATATATTGTTATTATTGGCCCCATGAATGAGGCTAGCCATGGGAAGAGTCATTAACTGTCAGAAAGAGTGGGACAGAGCAGTGCCCTTGGACAGGTGAGGCTCGGGTGTATAACTGGGACACAAGAGCAGATAAAACCAGATTTTAATTGGTAGGTGTCCTTGATCCAGGAGAGTTGGTACCAACTGTTGCAGGTATTGGCTCTGTCTGGAGAGCATTTTGTAAGTTGGTCTTGGCCCAGACAGCTAGAGTAACCTGTAAAATATATTTGAAAATGGATGGGGTTAAAATGGGCTCTGGAGATTGTTAGCTTTTACCAGACCTGATTTTTGATACAGCAGCAGAAATTTTTCCCAGGAACCTGTAAGTATCTGTAAAACAACTGGAACATCTAGGTGTCATAGCAAAAGGCTATTGCTTTAGGTTAAAAGGTATGAACATCTTAGAAAACAATTAAAGAGAATTGGAAACTGAACCTCTGATGATACGCCTGACATCTGTTAGTTCTGAACTCTAACACCTGTTAAAGAGGCATACCTGTCTGTATTTTAGCAGTGAACTTAACAAATGAAGTAATGAGCTACCAGTCAGTACCTTAAGTCATTGAATGCCATTAGAAAGATCTAAGAGGGATACATGAGCAGAAATGAGACCGCTTTTTTAGCTATGCAGGCAATCCCAAGTCTCTCCTTAGTCCTTGGAGAACATCAGCCTAAAAGCAGTGCTTTTGCCATTAGCTGCTGAGTACAAGAGGCCTGAAGATTTTTCCTGTGGGGGAAGATTTAGTCTACCTGTCTCAGCAGGATGAGAAGATCCATTCCCCAGGTGGCATCCAGGAAGCTGAAGAGGTGGAAGGCGGCTTTTTGCTGTGTGGGAAGCTTTGCCAAACCCAAAGGCATGCCTCCAGGTAGAAAAGTATTTTGTAACCATGTATCTTTTTGGAAGATAGGATGTTGTCGTTGTTGGAGCTGGCCTGTCTCTGTGTTAGGAGTTCTTTTGTTAAATGCCATACTCTCAGATATGTAAAGGCACTTGAGAATTGGGTACCATTATCTGTTAATTTTATTTAAACTAGACATAAAAGTTAAATTTAGACATGTACTTTACCCAATTAGTTACAGCTTACCAATGGTAGCAAATGTGAGAAGGTTAAAAGGAATATTTTAATAAGTCAAAGAATACTAGCACATGTGGGTACTCTTACCCAAGATGGTGGTGGGGTCAAAATGGGGGTTACTCGTGTGTTTGTATTTTTCCAGAACCCTTGTAAACTAGCATTATAAGTTTTTGCAGATCTTAAAACATGCATGCATACACACAGAGACATAAAGCAAGCATGCTGTGAAAACGCACCCACATACTCACACAGACATACTGTGGCCACATTATTCTAACAGACAGACAAATAAAACACTTTTAGGAACCTGTGTCACCTGACCAACTTAAAAATCCCATAGAAAGGTGGCAGAAGCCAGGGAAGCACAGAGGTGGTCCCATTAAGGCCCACTAGCAGACGCTGTGAACAGAAACATAAGGACGGAAGAACTATATGGTTTTAGAGTGGAAGGACAGGGGAAAAACGGATTTGGATCCGTTGTAGAGAATAAACAGTGAGAGAGGAGAACCTGTGTCAGCTGACCAACTTAAAAATCCTGGTGTAGGTAGGCAACAGAAGCCAGGGAAGCACCCAGGTGGTCCTGTTAAGGACTGGATTAGCAGACTGCAAGAGGGAACAGAAACATAAGGACAGAAGAACTCTAAGGTTTTAGAGTGAAAGGACCGGAGAGGGAAAACAGATCCAGATCAACTGTAGATAGTCCCAGCAGGAGACAAACAGTAAACATCTAGAGAAATGGGCCGGGGAGTGGGGAAGGAAAAGGCAGCCCAAGGGCATTTGAGGATTCAGCTTTGAATTGCAAGAACCCATTTAGAAGTCTATCCAAATTTTGGGAATCAAGTCTGTCCATCAGGACAGAGCTCTTGAGTCAAAAATGGGGAGTCATGAGAAATGAGTGGCAGACGTCTCTTAAGCACGCAATCTCACCTCGGCGAGGCCTCGCTTGCTGCTTGAATTGGGCTTTCAGCATGAATGTGACTCCCACAGAAAAGCCTGAAAATCAGCAAAGATAAATGCAAATGGGTCCCCAGCCCCAGTGGCATAAATTTAAAAAGGGGGACTCACCGAGACGAAGCCCATCTTAGCCTGGCAGAGAACACGAGAGAAGGGCATTTTACAACACATGGCCCTGGGCCTATGGGAAAAACAGTCCTCCTCCCCACCCCCATCTCCAAATATTAGATATTTCTCTTAGACAAGACTCTCTGCTGACGCAAATAATTCCAATCAGACCGAATTAAACTGAAGTAAAAGATGCCCATGTTTAATGCAGTGCTCCCGGGTGGCCCGGGGAAAGCATGGAGAGGGGAGGAGAGGAAAGGGGAGATCACACAAAACCTGGAGATCACACGTTCATTCTCTGGGGGGCAGCTTAAACAGCCTGTGGAAGTGGTCTTGGCATTCCCTGTGGAGGCGTTGCTCTTTGGTGGGCTTTCTTGACCCTCCCTGGGGAGGGGTTTTATGCCAGGAGCTGGGGTGAAGCTCCCAGGCAAACAATTTTATCATGTAATAACTAGAGACATTCTTCTGTTTAGATTTCTGCTTAACTATATTTTAAATAATTAGCTATGTTAATCGTCAAATAAATATATAATTCATATATATATAGCATATTGTTTAGGACTGTGTATACATTGTGGAATGTGTAAATGTACCTACTTAACACATGTATTATTTTATGTAAGAAGTTTTGAAGTAAAAAAAACCTGCTAAAAATATACTCTTATAGAGATTGTCAGAAATGGATTTCAATTGGTAGGATAAGATGGTGTGTGTCTATAATACCAGGACTTGGACTATAGCAGGATCAGGAGTTCAAGGTCATCCTGGAGTACACAGTGAGTTCCTAGCCAGTCTGGCCTACAGAGTAAGACCTTGTCTCAAGAAATAATGCTCTCCATTTTTACTAAAAATAGCTTGTATGGAACACAAAAGAGCTCCTGAAGTTGGCCTGCCTGTCCGGCATGAGACTGGGTGTGGCTCTCAGCATCCTTCTTTCTCCTTTGACCAATCACACTGTGCCATCATCTCTAATATTAGGCTAATTTTCAGGGCAAAATAAAAGAGACCAGAGAAAGGCAAGAATGTTTTCCCATACGCTCTTAAATAAATGCTCCCCCAATCCCTTTGGTCCAATTTTGGATTATTGGGAACCAGGAACACACCATGACAGACATATACTTTCCTGCCTTGCCGTGTTTCTAAATAGAGGGGAACAAAATGCTTCATTTAATATTACAAATGGTCAAAAAGCTTATAATGTAAATGCAAAAGATTTATGCATTTATTTTTAATGTTCCTTTAAATCTTACCCTTAATGAATGAAAGAGTATATGTCTTCTATGAACAAATACATTCTAAGTGTGAATTGATTCCCAAAGAGACTAGTCAGGGCCAGTGGCTGTATACAGAAGGAGCAAACTTACTTACAGAGATGATTAGATGATCAGGGCTGAAAAACAGAGCCTGTCAGCACACATCTGCAGTGGGGTTCCTACGAGAGACTGAACAGGAAAAACAAGCGTATGTTCATGTGTGTGCGTGTGCATGTACGAGTGTGTGAGTGTGAGTGCAAATATGAAAGTATGTGGGTTAAGATGCATATGTGTGTGTGAATGTCTGCATGTGTGAGTGTGTAAAAGCATGTGTGTATGTGAAAGTGTTTGAGTGAACATGTATGTGTGACAGTGTGTGTGTGTGAGAGAAAATGTGTGTGTATAAGTATGTGCATGTGTTGAGAGTCTATGTGTGTATGTCTGTGTAAGTACGTGTGAATGCATTGTGTATATGTGAGCGTATGTATGTGTGAGCATATATGTGTGAAAGAGAGCATGTGTATGTGTGTGAGCAAGGCTGGTTGCATATTTGTGTATATGTATGTGCCTATAGCAAGTAATAGAGACTTGCTACAGAAAATTTGTTCTGCATCACTCTGTGAAATACAGCACAATGTTTGAGAGTGCAGGTTTTTCAAACAGAGAAAAACAACACGTTTAGAAGCTCTACTTTCAAGGCTGTGGTTGTGTCCACAAGTGCGTGCATTATGACTAAGAGACAGCATCTGGACCATGTCAATGCTTGCCCAGTAATTTCCACTTCCACCGGGTGCCTGGGGGTGCTGCTAATCTCGATAAGAGGTAATGGAGAGGATCTCCTCATTAGCTCAGCGTGGAGAGGCCTCATCTAGTCACCTGAAGTGTCAATAAACCCTGGCCTTTAATGGTATTGGCTTAGTGATAACGCTACTGCACACTTCTGTTTGTCCTTACAAGATGTAACGCTGGCTGATTCCCTTGTTTAGGGGCTCATTATTAGAGGGGGGCCAGGGCAATTGATGTCTGCTAGAACCAGTTATGGGTCCCCTCTAGTTGCTTTGTTCAGCAATGAGTTGGTAAAAGGAATCCAAAAATGTGTCCATTATTTTGTAGACATAAGCTATAAGATATTCCAAATATGGTAGGCTCATAAAATTCTCAGTTTAGGGAGTCAGGAAGGTGGGGTGGTGACTGGGGGTGCTTGTTAAACAGCATGAGGACCAGAGTAGGAATCCCAGCACCCACATGAAAAGCAAGATGAGGCTATCTCTGCCTGTAACCTCGGAGCTATGAGGGGAGAAAACAGCAGAATTGCTGGGGCTTGTTGGCAGTTAGCCTAGATCCAGGCTCAGGGGAAAACACGGTCTCAAGAGATAAAAGATGGAAAGTGATAGAACAGGGTACCACATGTCCTCTTTTGACCTCTGCATTTGTGTACACATGCTTGTGGATATACCACAACACACACACATACACTATAGGAATAAAGTATGAAATTTAAACTGGACATTACCAATCAAACACATAATCTCAAGGAAACAGAAAGAATCGAATTAAGAGGAGACAATAAAGATATTAAGTCAAAAGTGCAAGCAGAGTGGGCAGAGGGAAGGAAAATAACAAGGCAACCAGCCGGCCGAACAGCAATTCAGCGTGCCTTGCTGAATGCCAGCAGCACTGCCTTCGACTTGCTTGTGGAGGAAAAGAACTCCCTCTCTGGCCACGTTAACAAATCCCGACTGCAAATCTGGTTCTTATTTAGGTCCTACTTTTGTTTAAACTGAATTGCTGAAGTATAATTTACATAGCATAAAAGCAACAACCCTGTGAGTTTATTTCACTTTTCTATTTGTGCAACCAGCCCCAATTAGCTTCTCAACAGTCCCATCAGCTACAATCTCCAGCGTGTTTGCTTGCTGTCAAATCCAGTTCCCAACCTCCAGCTACCATGGACTTGCTTTCTCTGCGTACAGATTCACCATTCCTAAGTATTCTCTAAAAAGGAATCAATACACTACACATGTGTGTTGAGGTTCTTTTGCTTAGCCTAATGACTCGGGATTAGAAAATTGTAGACCTAAGCCCACTGGAGAAGTGGGAACTTGTTCAGCCACTGTGTGAAACTTTCTCCATCCTTGCTGACAGGTAGGATCTCCATTCATTACTTAATGATGGCAGTTTTTAATTTTTGTATTCTTCATACCCTGATCTAAATAAGCACAACCCCACAATTGCCTAATGATGGTTGTGGTGGTGACAGAGACAGCAGCCATGAAGAACAGGGAGAGTTTGTTTGTTTCCTTGATACAAACATTGAACATTCCCTTTAATTTTCATATCAGCCCTCTGAGGTCAGGATAACTCATTAACATATCGACTGGGATTGGTACAAGATTAGATGGGCTATGTACGTGAACTTGACACAAGCTAGAGTCACTAGAGAGGCAGGAACCTCAGCTGAGGAAACGCCACGCTGAGATTCAGCTATAAGGCAATTGCTCAATTAGTGGTCATGGTGTTTTGCTGCAGCAAAAGAAGCCCTGGCTAAGACAGAATGGCATCTGAACTCCGTGTGTTTCTGGATCTGTAACTTTGGAAGAGACATTTAACTATGAGCACCCAATTTTTTCTCATGTCTAAAATGCAGATGCTGGATTTGCCTATCTCACAGGGCAATGAGAAGTGTGATCGGAGCATGGAGCTGGTACATGACATTTGCTTCCTCCACGTGGATCATCACAATCTTTATTTCACAAGAGTGGAAGATGGACTGTGGTCTGAGAACTCATAGTATCTCGACTATTCCACATCTGCTTCCTACAAAAACGGTTTTGTCACATCTTCATATTTACTTCTAGGCTAAGACATCAAGGTCTGATCATTCTGGTCTCACACGATGATAATCACATCTCTATAGTTTTCCAAACCTTACCCTTTTTTTTTTTTTTGGCTCACCCAGTACAGGTCATTGAGAAATTCAAAACCAAGAATTGTTTTGTTTGTTATTTCTATGTTTCTTTTGATTTCTTTGCTTTCTTCATTCTATAGAGGGCAGGTTGAAATGGTGGTTGCTTGATCCCTACCTTATATGATACAGTGGTGATTATGTGGTCTTTGAGAAATGACCTAATATTTAGTGGTAGAGGGGTGGTGGTACCAGAGCATTTCCCCATGGAGTTTGCCTCATTCAATCTCAGTGAATGAACCTAGAGAGGCTCCTCTTCTCAAGGAGGGCTCTCTGATGGTGACATAACCAAGCAGAGACCATGTGACAGTGGAATACCAGGAAGGTGAGCACAGCCTCTAGAAGAACCAATCACACTAAAACATGGAAGATAGGAAGATTATCTAAGCAGTTTTAGGAAGATAAGCCAAACAGTGTTGAGAGCAGAGCTGGTAACAAGCCAGCATCTTAGGACTAAGACAGCCTTCAGCTGGATAAGCTCCTCCCCTGTCCATCCTGGCTGCTCTGGTTGCCAGGGAGGTGTTGAAAGAGCTTCTGGGCACTTTCCATCCTCCTTAAAGCTTTTCTTGGACTCTTGGGGAATAAGAATGGTTAGAGCCAATGCTGCTGGACTAGCTCTCCTGCAGCCTGCAGGAGATCATGATCATTTGCTAATTTATCTGCAGTATTGAGTCCTTTTATGTTGTAGATTAGGAAGAAGAGACACAAAACCCTGGCCAGCTGTAAGTAGTTCCCCCTGCATTTAATCCCTTATAGCTTTGCTATTTCATCCTCCAGCGAAGCTCCTCCTCCCAGAAGGCACCTAGTGCCTGTTTCTTAATTAGGTAGACATTATTTACGAGAAGAGACTTGTTGACTGGATCTGCTAATTTTGAAAAATCTCACCTCAGCTTCCACATAAATTAGGATTGCAACCACTGACTATCGCATAAACAAATGAAAGTAAACAATGCTCTCGAATAACATGCTAACGAGAAAACCCTCAAGTTGGGATTTTGAAATGTCTAATTAAAAAGTGTAGCAACTTAGAATGAATTACTGAGGTGAAGCCATTGTCCTTCTCACTAGTGACAGATTCAAAATAAAATCAGGCTCCCTTGTTACATGAACTTTCCCAGGACTCCATATAGTTCACATGCTTTCCTCTCTGTGTTCACTGAGTCAGTTCAATAGAAGGCCTGACTAATGATAGAATGATGTCAAGCCTTCAGTGCAATAGTTGACAAAACCATATAACACTCGATATCATGGGCATTGTGTTCAGTGGGAAACACCAGAAAAGGGAATGGGTAAATGTCCAAATGAGAAAAAACATCAACAAACATCAGGGGACAATAAATACTATGCAGAAAAATCAGCTTTAGAAAATGACTTTATCTGACAAAGAAATTGGATATTGGCTTTATTTCTATAAACTGACTTGATTCCTGTCTCGGAGATACTGGGCAGACTCACCATCTTACTCTGAAGCTGACTGATGGGCATTTCAATTGTTTGCACTTGTCAACTCCAGCAATCAGTAGGCTGTCCGAACTCCTGATAGCGTATGTTTGTTTCTGAAACTGATCTAAACAGTAACTATTTAGGAAATAATTAAAAGTAAAAAGTAATGGAATCAAATTTTGCATGAATCCATGTATTTGAATGTATCAATGTCTAATTTTACTTTAAAAAAGAGTATAAAACATTCTTGTATTTCTTCCATTACTTATAGTTTCAAAGAATAAGAGATAATTAAAAATAAAAATAAATAAAATTTCATATATATGTGAAATACCCAGAAAACAATATTTTTTCCAGCCGTAGGTGTAAATTATGAATCATCCACAGCATGTAGTTGGCCTACATCTATTGAGATTTATGGCCCAGGTGATCTAGAGGTTGGAGGTGTTATTAACAGGTGAACAGACACGTGACAATTATCAGAATTAGACCATGTAGGACCATCAAGGAGGGTGTGAGCTAATTTATTTCAAGGCAGGGCTTCTCAAACTCAGCAGTGTCAGCCAGATAACTCTTGGTTGCCAGAGACTGTTCTGTGTGTTAAAATTCTTAGCCTCTACTCATGAATGCTAACCGCAACCCTCCCCTAGCTGTTACAAGCAAATGAGTCTCCAGATATTGTCAAATGTCCTATAGCAGCGAAGTCACTTTTGGCTGAAAATTTGCTTCATGCCACAGGAGAGGAATTTATCTGAAGATGTTTGGCTTCAATGTGAGAATGGAGCAGCTAAAGTACCAGGGATGTAACAGCCATCAGACATGAGACGGTCTTCGAAGGCAGAAATCATGAGACGGCATCAAGCTGATATGCATGAGGTTGAGGGACCTTTGAGAAGTCACCCATGTGCAGAAGGGAGGGCCAGAGAATGGGAAGAAAGGAAACGGCATTGGTTGCTTGTCAGGGACATAAGAAAGTTCAAGATCAACATATCCTGAAACATTCAATTGTTTTGCCATAAATACTCCAAGAATCTTAGAATATTAACCACGTTCCTTTAAACTTATCACTTTATTTTACAATTAGTTGAAAATGTATGGATGGTTAGACATCATTTTGGTCAATAATAATAGCAATTAGAACCTCAGCTCTGGGCTAAAGAAGATTTCTTGGGTAAAAATATATTTTAAAAATAATTGAATTGCAATAAAAAAAATACCTACAAGATGGGTGACCCATTTTACCTACTCAAACATAAAACAAAACAAAAAAAATGAATTACTAAGGCAAAGGGGTGGGGTGCATTTATCTTAGGCAGGCTAACAACAAATAAATTATTTGGGCGTAAAAATGGAATGATGAGATGGGTCGTTTGTTCTTCCTGTGAGCTCACTATCTGTAGGCCTTTCAGTTGGATTCCAGCTGCATCATTCTCTCATTCCATACAAACTTTCCATATCTACAAGTCCATAATGCAGAATAATGGCTGTTTCCCATAGGCCTGCCTTTTCTAAGTTCCAAACACGCTGCTCTTCACTCATGGTATTTTGGAATTCTCAAGGAAAGGTTTTGATTGACTTACCCTCCATCGGGCACCCATTCATGAACCAATAAGCTATGAAAATGCTCATGACAGTCATGTCGGTGGGAGATGGCTAGTAGGCTTATAAAAGAAATAAGAGGGATCTTCGTTCTGTTGCTGTGATAAAACATTGCCTGAAGTAACGAGGGGAGGAAAGAGTTTACTTCAGTATCCTGCCATAGTTCACTCTGAAAGGAAACCAGGGCAGGAGCTCTAAGC